GCATGGCGGCCTCGCTCAGGCTGTCCCCTCCACGGGCCCCAGCTGCATGACCCCCCCGTCAGGGCTGTGCCCCACATCGGGGGGGGGCTGTGGGCAGCGGGTGTTCCAGGCAGCCCAGCGGCTCCGAGGGAGGGGCTGCGCCACTGCATAAGCACAGACCCGGCGAGGAAGAGGAAGGCTGCTGCCTCTTGGGGGGGCAAAAAGGGGGCACCCAGCACACAGGAGGAGAGGGGGGGGGGGGGGTGAGGAGTAAACAATGACATTTTGAGAAAAATAAGCAATACTTTAAAGGCTCTTCACAAATCTGAAGTCCGGAACTAACCTTTCCCCCGTTCCCTCCAGTGCCCTGCTGACATTTTGGGCTTGGGCTCCCATCAGCCTGAGGCAGCCAATGGTAAAAAATGATGGGTTGCTTTAGGAACATTAAGTGATACTGAGTACACCTGATTTGTCCATAAAATTCTAATTAAAACACTTGTTACAATTTAAGTTCAGTACATTTAGCCAGGTTGGAGCCAGTGCAGCGCAGGGCCACAAGGTTGGTGGCCTGTTTGCAGGGGAGGCCATATGAGGCGAGACGGAGGGAACTGGGTCTCTTCAGCCGGGAGGAGACTCAGAGGGGGTCTGTTGGCGACATCCAGGTATGTGAGGGGGTGTCACACGGAGGTGGGTAGAGACCGGTTCTCCCCTGCAGAGGAAGGCAGGACGCACCTCAACAGAGCAAAGCTCAGGAAGCCAAGGTTCAGTTTGGATGCCAGGAAGCACTTCCGGACAGTCACCCGAGGGTGTGGAATGGGCTTCCACACGAGGTGGTTGAGGCCCCATGGGTGCGGGTGTTCAAGGACAGGCTGGACGTGCACATGGTGGGCATGTCGTGAGCGGAGCCGGCTGGAGCCGGGGGTCAGACTAGATGGCCTGGGAGGCCCCTCCTGACTCGCTGTTTCTGTGTTCCATGTTTGCATTTGCTGTTGGCCCCATCCCCTCTGCATGGGTGGGGGACCCATTAGAATGGTCCGCCCCCAGGCGGTTTCCAGAGGGCTCTGGGGGAGCTCCCGGCTCATGTGGCTGCCACTCCCGGTGTTTTCAGCCCGGTGACCTAACCTAGCAAGAGCACCCCCAACCGCCTTCCGGCCTTCGAGGGTGCCGGCTCTCCCACCCAGTTGTGTGCCATCTGCAGATACCATCCTCGTCCCAACATTAATGAGAATCCTGAAGTGCACTGGGCCCAGGAGGGGCCCCCGCAGGACCCCCCTTGTTACCTCTCCTGGTGTGAGGAGCAGCCGGTGAGGAGCACTCGACTAGCCCCCTTCTGGCTGGCTGCTCAGCAGGATCTCATGGCACTTCGCCATATCATTTGCGGGTGTCCAGGTGCGGGTGGTTGGGGAGGTGTTGCCCGATCAAAACACGAAGCCGGGGTCGCCCGGCAGACCCGTTCTCGGCAGATCCGTCCCGCGTTACCTGCAGGGTGCCGGCGGGACGCTGCTCCCCCACCCGCTCTGGCACCTACAACCTCCCCTCATTGGGGGTCTCTCCTGGCCCGGGCAGGCCGGCTGCCGCCCTTTCCACGGCTCTGCGCCAGCCTCTTTCGGGGCACTGCCAGGGGCCGGACGGGCCTGGAACGATCTGTGGCCCCCTGGCAGGCGGTCGGGAGAGAAGAGCTGGCCGGCTAGAGGGGCGCCAGCTAAGAGGCCGGCCGCCTCCAGAAGGGCCCTCCAGGAGGGGTTCTCGAAGTATTCCTGGTTGGGGTTCCGTGACCTGCTCTGCACATGCTCAGGATCCGCTTCGCTGGTGCTGCTCCACTGGATGCACAGTGGGGAACAGAGAGCATCTGCCGGACCGTCTGCTGGGTGGAGGGTATGCAGTGGGAAGCCGGCTGAGGACCAGGAAGGCGGCGTCCGGAGGGGTGAGCCACCCAGGTGGGGGGGCTCCGCTCTTGCTCTCTTGCTCCCCCACCCCCGGTGCAGAGCCAGCAGCCTTCCTGAAAGCGAGGGGCCACGGGGAAGTGTCCGGTTTGGATTCGCCTCTCGGCTTTGGCAAAAGGATGTTCTGTTGACTGTGGAGTTTCAACCCAAGGCCTGCATTTCAAAGGCCTGCCCGGAGTTCTGGGACCCTGAGGAGGAGGGAAGGGGCTGGCTCATGACACTAGCCTGCCTCACATGGTTGTTGGTGTGAGAATAAAACAGAGAGGAAGACAACCAGGTAAACTGTCCCAGGTTCCTTGCAGGAGGGAGGCAGAGGCAATGAGCCGGTGAGGAGGCACGTTGCAAAGACCTGGGTCTGAGGTTGCAGGATCTGGACCACTGCAACTGCAAGCAGAGCGGCTGGCTTGCAAAGACACTGCCTGGTCCGACAACATGACCAGCCAAGGTGCTTCTCAACACCACTGATCCAGGGTGAGGAGGGACTGGGGGAACGGGGCATGTCCAGCCTTGAGGAGAGGAGGCTGAGGGGGGACAAGATCTCCCTCTAGCAGGACCTCCAGGGCTGCCACGAAGGGGAAGGTCACGATCCCCTCCTGCTGATGCCAGAGAGCAGGACACGGAATAACCAAGTCAAGCTGCGACAACCCAGGCTCAGGCTGGGCATCGGGAAACGCTTCCTCACGGCCAGAGCCACATGGCAGTGGCTCCAGCTGCCCGGAGCGGTGGGGGCTCCGCCACCCTGGAGACGCTCAAGGCGAGCCTGGGCAGTCCTCTGAGTGGGGTGGTGTGGCTTGGTGTCCGGCAAGGTTGCGGGGCTGGACCGGAGGGCCTTCACGCCCCCTTCCAACTCGACTGTTTCGTGATTCTGTGATTCCGTGGTGGGTCTGCCGTGTTTTCCAAGCCCAGTCATAGTATTTTCATCACAGTCAGTTTCATCTTTAGACACCGTGATAAGGCTTCTTCCATGGCTTCTCGGTGCCATCGCAGCTGGCAGTATTGCCTGAACCCAGGAGGGCGGTTTCCGAGTCGGGGGCAACGGCAGGAGATGCTCCGGCCATCCGGCCCGCGAGCGGACCAGCGTGGCCGAGGCAGGCGACCCAGGCAGGGACGGAGCCTCAGGCACGGGGCTGGCGGGAGGCCTGGAGTGGAGGACGGGAACCATGACGGAGGGGGAGCTGCTGAATCGACGCCGGGAGATCGCGGCTGGGAGGGAGTCCTCCACGTCACCACAGGGGCTGCCTATTGCGAGCGCCGCCACCAGACGTCGTCGGGGCCTCCTGGGCCTCCAGCCACCAGCACGGTTCCTGCAGCGCCACCAGCCTGAGCACTGAACCCCTCGGAGTGAGGACGGCCCCGGCCAGGGCAGGCAGGGGAGTCCCTGGCCCGCCAGGCCGCTGGTGCGGGACTCGCTCCGCCACGTACTGCGCATCGCTGACATTCGCCTCCCGGTCACCCACCAACCCTTCCCAACGGCTTCCGGAGGGCCCGAAACAGCCCCGGGGGCAGGGTGGTTCCCTGCAGCACTGCACAGGATCGATGCAGCTGGGGGTGAGGATCCCCCACGTGCAGCGTGCCCCATCCCCCGTCCAGCGCGCTGCCCAGGGATGCCACGAGGCCAGCCCCCTGTGTGCTGACTCCGAGCGCCATCCGCCACGCCAACGGCCATTCCCACAGTTGGGAGAGACCCTCGTGGAGGCCTCTGTGGGCCCCAAACCGCACAGTCTGCTCCGGGCCGCACAAACCGGAGCAAATCTGCAAACCCCGAGCGCACAGAGGGAGGAGATGCACGGTCCAGTCCTTCCGGCCGCCTGCGCCCACCACACGCGGACACGGAGCGGCAGCAAAGCCAGCCGGGGCTGCCCCACCGTTCCCAGCTGGCCCCCGTCCCAGGACGATGCCCGGCCACCCCGCTCCCTCCCCGGCGGCCTGGGCACGGACGGGCATACCTTGGTGCCGTGGTAGAAGTCGTCCACGCAGGTGGCGTTCATGAACGTCTGGTGGAAGTGCGTGCTGGTGTCGATGCCGCCCGGGATGACCAGCTTGCCCGTGGCGTCGATGACCTTGGCCCCGCCCGGGATCATGAGCTCGCGGCCCACCTGCTGGATGGCCCCGTTCTCGATGTACACGTCGGCCTCCACCGTGCAGTCGTCGTTCACGACCTTGCCCCCCTTGATGAGGATGCGCATCGTGGCCGCGTTGGCAAGCATGGCTCTGCAGCGGGCACAAGGGAAGGGCGGCCGCTGGAGAACCGCCGTCGTGGGCCCCCGGGCACAGGCGCAGCCCCTGCGCAGTGGGGGCTGCAGAGCCGTGGGGCAGCTGCCAAGACAGACGCAGCCCCCCGGCTGCCCGCTCGCTCTGGGGCCGGCACGCGCTCCAAGGCAGCCCTGCGGCCGCCGCCCCCAGGAATTCCCGGGGCCGCCGTGCCCCCCCCCCCCGCGGCCCGAAGCGGAAGGCGCATGGAAGGCTCCAGCCCGCCGAGGGGGGCGCGGGAAGCCGCATCTTTCTCGCGGTGCGGCTCACTCGCGGCAAGCGCATCGCCCTCCCCACGAGAGCTGGAACGCGCGCCTACTCCTGAATGACCCCAGGCCGGTTTTCAGCGAGGCGAAGCGGCCACAGCGGCTCCTCGCTGGGGCGGCACACGTGCTGCGCCCGGCCACCCGCCCCCCATGCCTCCCCTGCACGGAGCGCTCCCCTGAGCGCGCATCGCATCGCATCGCATCGCGCAGCAGCAGCAGCCACGTGCCTTGGCTCATGCCTGGGGTGCCTCCGCCGATACGGAGCCCAGAGGCAGCGCCTGCGGCAGCTCACGGGCGCCAGGAAATGCGGGCGCTGGCCTGCCCACCCGCCCCCCACACACGCGCGCGCACACAATATCCAGGCTTCCCGCCTTGCCTCCTTCCATGCTGCCGTGCCTTTTTCCTCCGGCACTCGGGGGGGGGGGGGCAAGGAAGACGCCTCGCTTCCAGCCCCTCCTCTCTGAATTCTGCCTTTGAAGCCAGAACGGCTCTGGGGGCCCGGAAGCGGCCCGTCCTTCGCCTTGTCTTGGGCTCCAAACTTCAACCCTCGCTGGCTCTATTCATCCTCACCCGTCTAAGCGACATGGGTGATAATTGCTCCGTGCTGAGTTTTGTGATTGAACACCTCTGTAAACTTGGGGGAGTGAGGCATCCCCGCTGAGCAGCCCCCAAGCCCCCAAGGCGGCAGGGATGCCCTGCCCGAGGGATTCCGGGAAGGGCGAGGGGGCTCTGTGAGAGGCAGACCTCAGACCTCAGCCGGGCGGCTCGAGAGCACAGCCTGGCACCAGAGTTGGCCGGGTGGCCGGCGTGTGCCTGAGGAATCGGCGAAGCGGGAGGGCATCGGAAACCCACACCCCCTTTTTATTCCAGAGCACGCAGTGGGTGGGGAAGGGTTCGCCAGCGGTGGTGGCGTGCGCAACGCGGGCAGCACTGGCGCTCCCGCCTGGGGCAGACGTGGTGCCACGAGGGCCCGTGCGGAGCAGCGGTGAGCGTGCGAGGCGAGGACTCGGGGGTCCTGAGCACTGGGCCCTGTTCAGCCGTGGGGCCACCGGGGCGACTCTGGGCCAGTCGTGGGCTCTCAGCCCAACCCGCCTCACAGGGGACAAGACTGAGAGCAGCAGCAGGAGAATACGCAAGCCGTCCTGAGTTTGGCGTAAGGTAGAAGAGGTCGGATATAAATCCAGTACACTAATCGGCCCAGCGCAGGGCACAGGAATGGGAGCCGGGCTGGGAGGGCTGGCCTGGGAGGGGAGTGGAGGGAGCGGGGCCCCTTCAGCCTGGAGAAAAGGAGGCTCCGAGGGGATCTTTTCGAGCATGGGTCCTCAAAGTACGGCTCGCGGGCTGGATCCAGCCTGCCGTGCCCCTTTATCCAGCCCGCCTTTTGGACTCCCCATGCCTGTGCCCTCTCCCGCAGCCTGTCAATGGGCCCGGCCTGCCCAAACCATCTGCAGCCTCACAGCGGGGGGGACGCCGGGCTCGCTTCCTGATGAGAAAGGCGGAGGAGGCCGGCACATGAGCGCCAGCCGCTGGCCACGGGACCCCGTGTGTTGGGATGGGGCCATGGGCCTGGGGCCACCGGCCAGCCTCTCCTGCAGCAGCCGGGAGGGAGGGAGGGAGGGAGCCGGCTCTGGGGAAGGGCAAAGCCCGCCCACCGCTTTCTCCGGGGCTCCTCTGGACGCGTCCCCCAAACGGCTGCAGCACTTCTGGCGAGCGCTTCAGAATATCGCCACGTCTCGCCCTCTGATAAAGCCACAAGCCGCTCCGTGCAGTGTGCTCCGCGCACACCTATCTGGAAAGCACGGAGAGCAGAGTCGTGGTGCAGGGAGCAGCCGTGGCACCGTCGGCTGTGGGGAGGCAGGCCTGGCGCCCACTCAGCCCCTGGGCACGCCAGAACCGACCCAGCCAAGAGGGCTGAAGCCGGGGCAGGACAGGGCGCCCCTCCGGGAGAGCAGGGCAGCTCCTCTGCTCAACGGGGCCTTTTGGGGAGCCCGCAGATCCTCACCACCCCTCAGTGCCCCGGGGGCTCGGCCAGGCCTCTTGCCGCCTCCCCGCCAGCAGCCCCCCACTCGGCCCGAAGGGCGGCCGTGCACGAGAGCCCCCGAGGCTGAGCATCCGGCGGGAGCAGCAGAAGGGGAGCGTCCTCGCCCCCACGGGGCACCGGGCGCCGTGCACTTCGGGGGCAGAGGCTGTGCCTCTTGCTCCCTGCAGGGCGCTCCCGAACCGTGGGCCCGGTGCCCAGAGGGAGCGCCACTGCGTGGGGCCGCCCGTGCCCTCTTGCCTGCCGGAGCACAGCTGCTCGCCGGAGGGCTGCTGCATTGCAGCAAAGACGAAAGTGCGTCTCTTAATGACGGGGCGGCCAGAGAAGGCGTAATGAGCAGAGCGGCTGACGGTCGCCGCCTCTTTGTCCCAAAGCCCCACGGGAAGCGCTGGGGGCTGCCAACAGCCAGGGACACGCCAGGACTGACGAGGGAGGGAGGGAGGGAGGGAGAGAGGGGAAGCACGGACCGTCACCCGGCGGCCCCGGGGGGGGGGGCTCCCACGTTTCGCCTCTCCGCTGCCACATGTGCAGGAACGTTCCTCGAGCGCTCCGAGGGGGCAGCGAGCGGCAGCTGGGACGCAGCCGTCTCCGGAGCCTTCACATCCATGGCAGAGCACGGCCAGGCAGTCAAGCTCATCCTCCCGCGGAGCAAAGGGCCAAGCCAGATGGGGGTCAGGGCCCGGGGGGGGGGGGCAGGCTCCCTCCTTCTCCGGGACAACGTCCGTGGCAATGGGATCTGTGCAGTAGGGACCCCCAAAAGGCAACCCGGGAAGCTTCAGGTGCAGCCTCCGCCAGCTCAGCCACCCCACCGCCTGGCACAGCTGGGCACCACATCTCCCGCTGAACTGAGGCGCCGGTGCCGGCCCCACCACCCCACACGCAACGATTGGCAGCCGCCCCACGTCTCGCTGCACCATCAGCAGAGGCCCCCCTCGCTGAACCACGAAGGCTGCACTGCCGCGGCTCTCCCCCATCCGGCTCCCCCGGCATGTGGGGCAGAAATCTGCAGCGATGCCCCGGAAGCAAGGCGGCCCCACTGCTGCCACAGCCCAGGCGGCCCCCGGGGCACGTGAGCAGTGCCACCTGCCAGCGCTGCCTTCCCTTCAGCCGCAGCTTCGCGACTCGCCAGGGGCTCACTGCCGGGAGGTGCTCTGGCCCGGTGCGTGGCCAGGCATCGGTTCCTCGGCCAGGCATGGGGGGCATCCTTCGGCATCCCGGCGAGGCACCGGCTGCCGCCCTGCCGGAGCGCTCGGCTATCCCGGCCTGTGGGGCTTCCTCCCCAGCCCAAGCCCCCGAGAACGGCCTTCGCTGCCCTTGCATTCCCGCAAAGGGCCTGCTTAAGACATGAGGCGCTGGCGCTCGCAGGGGCCACGTTCTTGTCCCCGAGCCCCCAGGGGCCCACCACCCCCCCCCTGCAGGCCCAGGGTGCCACCCTGGAACTGCCTCTCACCCAAGACGCCCTTGGGACCCGGCGGCACCCAAGAGCCCCTGCCTCCCCGGCCACCTCCTCCTCTGGCAATTGGGTGGTACGCCTGCATTTCTATCCCGCCCTTTCCTCTTATGAGGACCCCAAGGCAGCCTTCTTCGCTCCATCTCATCCTCACAACCACCCCACGAGGGAAGTCGGGCTAAGAGTGGACAACCGGCCCCAGGTCACCGGGGAGCCTCGTGGGGTCCCCCCGGCACTCACCACCACGACCCCCTGGAGCACGGAGGTGGCAGGGCAGAGGAAGCGAAGGCCGGTCAGGCCCGCCGGGCGACTTGCCCAGACCCCCCGGGGCGTCCAGCGCCCCACGGCAGCTGCCCTCGGGCGCGCTGCCTGCCCCAGCCGTGGGGTCCCCATCAGGGAGGGCAGGAGCCTTGCGGCATGACGGCGCTCCACCTGGGCAGAAAGCGGCCCTGCGGCTCGGGGGGGGGGTCTTCCCGCCATGCTGGCTGCCAAATGCCGGGGCCACAGAGCCCTCCTCCGGCCCCGGCAGCGCCACGAGCTGCCTGTTCCGCACAGGCCTTCGCGCAGCTCTGCCCGCCGTCCTCAGAGGCCACGCGAGAACTGCAGATCCCCCTTAGAGACCTGGAATCGGCAGGCCCGGCAGGCGGTTCAGCGGCTGTGGAGGGGGTCACTGCCACCCGGCACCGCTCCCACGCCTGCGCTCTGCCGGCCGTGCGGGTCCCCCGGCCCACGGCAGAACCACGCGGCCACTGCCCCGGCGGAACCAGCCTCGGCAACACGCGCCCCCGCGCCAAGCTGCATCGCGGTCGCGGGAAGCAGGCCACAGCCAGGCTCCCGAGGAACCGAGGCAGCTGCTGGAACAGCAGGCCGGACGGTCCAGCCAGCCCCCAGCATCGTCTGCCCTGAGGCGCAGCACAGAAAGCGGCCATCTCCACCGCCTGCGCCGGGGCCTTCGGGCTTCGAGGTGCCGGGGACTGAGCCGGGGAGCGGCTGCATGCGGGGCCACGGCCCCCCGCAGGAAAGCGGGCCCGAACCGTAACCGCCCGGAAATGGAGTCAGCCTCAGAAACACGCAAACTGGTCCAAGCAGCAGGGCAGCATCGTGCAGAAGCTTGGAAAGTCTCAGGGGCAGCAGGGGCCTCCCCGCTGCGGACGAGAGCGCAGGAAGCCCCCCGGCCAGAAGCGCAGGGCAGCCCGGCTCCTG